TAAGGCAAACACTGAGCTGTAACCAACCCAGCTGTTTCGGTACCTCACTTCCAATTTCTGTGTATCACTTTACTTTTTTGGTCTATAAATGTGTTCTGACCACAAGGCACCCCTGGAGTCTATCTGAATCTGCTGTGATTCTGGGAGCTGCCTGATTCACGAGTCATTCATTGCTCAGTTGAACTCCTTTGAATTTAATTCAGCTGAAGTTTTTCTTTGAACAGGAGTTCCAGGAGACATGACCCTTACATGTAATGTAGTCTCCTGGATCAGCCAAGGGGAGCGGTAGATAAAAACTAAGGAAATTTGAATAAAGTATGGACTTTAGCTAATCATCATGTGTCAATATTGGTGCATTAATTGGGACAAATGTAGCACACGAATGTAAGGTATTAATAAAAGAGGAAACTAGCGGGGACATATGGGAACACTGCAATAAGTTCACAAGTTTTTTGTAAAATCAAATCAGTTCTGAAAGTAAAAGCCTGTCTGCTTCTTGCCCTTCTCTCTATTTCAAGCAGCTCTGTCAATCCCCACTAGGTAATAAGGGGATGTACAATCCCAGGTACAGACCACATGTCACTGGACATTGGTCTAATTTGAAGACACCAACATCTGTCCTCTTTGTAACCGTGCACCAATCTTCACAAGAGGAAAATGCCTCATCTCATGGGATGTGTTCTTAGTGAAAGGTAATTCGAGGAACCATTTTACTTCATGGAAGCCGCATCTGGTCCCTCTCCTACCCCTGGCACGGCCAGCTAGTAGACAGGTGATTCAGCAGGGGCTGCATGGAGGTCTCTGCAGCTGACGTGCAGATAACCAGGAAAACTACGGAAGGAATTCACTGTGAGGGCAGGAGAGAGTTGCTGGGAGGCTGCTGTGTCCACACTCAGCCTCCAACCTCCATCCGAATCTGCATGGCCAAGCTGGGTCCCATGATATCCATCCAGTAAACCCTTTTATTTATTATTTTTTCTTAAATTAGCTGGAGGATGATTTATGGCCTGCAACTTAGAATATCATTGGATACACCAGGGCATATTTTACCTGAAACAGACTAAGAAGAAATCCTATTCTGGGCCAACACAGGTTCAAAGGTTACATCAGTCAAGTGAATTAAGCTCACAGGGTCAATCTCAAACCACCATATTATTTCCTAACAAGCTTTAAGTCTTCTACATATCTGGCTGCCCAAACCACCAAAGAATATCATCTGGGCCTCATCAATGCCAGGCTCACTTCTGCCCCTTGTCAAACACTCGTATTTTATTATCTTGCTATCTCCTTTCTAAGTCTCACCTGTGCAAGAATATCTCCTTGGTAATGTCTTATTCTGACCTGGACTTAAAGCCAATCACAGTGCTAGGCATATGGCGCTTAACAAATTCTTGAGCATTTAAAACTTCAAAGACCTCAGCAAAGTGCACATATCTGTTGATAATCAGCAATTCATTCATTCATTCATTCATTCATTCATTCAAGAAATTGAAGGATGTCCCTGCCTTTAAGAACAGCCCCTTCTCTGAGCTTGTTCCAGTGTTGTAGGCCCCCCGGCTGATTATTCTGGATTGTTAGGTAATCAAGGGAATGCTACGCCTACACTGGGTTCCAGCCTTCCATTCGGATCTGAAGACCAGAACTCTTTGGAAACTGACTCCCTGTGATGAAAAGGAATGGAAAAATAACTGGTGAGGACGTGAAAGAAAGAGTCCCAGTTCTTATCTTCCTCCAGGCCCATGGCAGGTAAATAGAGACCGGGATGCATCTGAGCCTCGCTCTCAGTGGGGGAGGGACACAGGAGAATGTGTGGCTAGAAAAATATAGAAGAAAGGTTTCCAGTGCTGTGGGATGCTTCAGTTGTTCACTTGAAGGAAAACATTTTCTGGGATTGAATGAGATTGTTAGATGTCTCAGGAATGAAAGAAAGCGTTTTGCTTTTCTTTTCCTGCAGGTGTCACCTTCAGAAGATAGAAGAGCCAGGATAGAACAGAAGTTGTAAGATGACAAACAGCCCCACCTGGGTTTTCTTGTTCTTAAAGCGTGAAACACACACGCAAATATACACGCATACAAGTATACACAGAGAAAGAAGCTAACTCCTGTGCTTCAGCCGTCGCATGCCCCTGAGTGCCCATGAGATCACAGGCACGCCGCCGGAGAGGTGTACAGTGGGTGGTCAGTCGTTATCAACAAAGAACTCAAACCGCAGCCGCTGCATCAGTCCACAATTTGCAAATGTGCATGATGCATATTTGCATATATCCCTCCCATTGGTGGCAGTTAGTCTGGTCCCCTCTCACTCTGGTCATCCTTGACTGGCCCTGGATGTCTGACTGGTACCTGACCTATGAAACAGGAGCCCGACGCTGGGCCATGCCAGCACTTTCAACACAGAGAGTCTAGAAACACAGTCACAATTCGGAGAAAAGTGCCCAAGGATATTTGGCTGGATCCTTCAGGGTTATTTATAGCAGATAGCCAGAGAGAACAGACACACACCAATTCTAAATATTTGGAAGCTATGCTAAATTAGTGTCAAATTGACTTCATTTAAAAAGATATACAGTTTTATTATTTTCTCATTATAGGGATTCAAGCTAAAGAATAATCTTGCCAGGTCCAAGTTAACCTCCAGCTGTTTACATAAACACATGAGACTCATCCATAATCAGAGCGTTTTAAGTATGCAGCAAGCACATTATAAATGCAACCTCTTAAAGAAACTGTGTAGCATTGTACTGAGGTAAACACACATTCATGAAACATTTCCTTCATCGTTGTTCTTATCTGTAAAACTGATTTTTTAAATCGAATTGACATTTCTAATTGATGGGCTCTGAACAAATATACTTTTGCTGTACTTCCCAAATTTTCCAAACTTTGACCTGTGAGTGAGCCACCAAATTTAGAAGCTTCAAATGCATTTGCTTCTGAATTTGCCAAGACTTGGAGTCTCATATTGTGCAGTCAAGCATAGTGAATTTATCTTGGTTTTGTTACAGACTGCCAAAGATAAAAGCCACCCGTGGACCCTAATGGATATGTTTAGTGTCTAATAAAGTCATGAGACACAAAGCTTTCTGTGAAATTCAGTGCTACACATATCACTGCTTCCACACACACGCACACACACACAAGCCGTATGTGGCTCTCATCTCCTGAGAGGCAAAGCTTCAGGGGATTGCAGTGTTTAATCCCGGGTTCAGAAAATCTAGTCAGTCGTTGGCAGACCTAAAAGATGGCAGACAGTATGAAACGGTGTAAGAACAAAGCTCCCCTATTCAAACCTTTTGTTTCTACCATCAAATTATTTCTCTACACAAGCAGCCATCCTCACAGAGAATACTATGTAAGACTTTTGGACCCAGAAAAGTAAAACACAAAGCTAGCAGACCTCGCTGAGGACCTGTGGCCAGCTGGATCTAGATCCGATTTCCAGAGGGAGGGAAGGGAACGCTAATGAAGGCTCGGCCCGACAGATGTGTTCCTTTGCCCTAAATCCCTGCGGCTAATCCACGAATGGCACATCCAACCAGGCCAAAGGTTTTTACCTTCCAGGACTTAGCCAAGTTCGGTCATTAGATGCATGTCCATTAGGTTGTTTCTTTAGTTAAAATCAAAAAGGCATTTTCTAATACTAGGTCACAATGAAATAAAATTAAATGTGCAACACAGAATCAAAACGGTGATTTATTTTCTTAAATGCATCCACCCTTTAAACATAAAGGAAGAAGGGGGAAGGGAGAGGGGAAGGGCGAGGGGAGGGGCGAGGGAAGGGGAGGGGCGAATGGAGGGGAGGGACGGGGGCGGGGAGGGCGAGGGAAGGGGCGAGGGGAGGGGCGGGGAGGGGGGAGGGGATGGGAGGGGCGAGGGATGGGAGGGGAGAGGGGAGGGGAGGGACGAGGGGAGGGGAGGGAGGGAGGAGGGGGGACGGGAAGGAGGAGAGGAGAAGGGAGAGGGGAGGAGAGAGGGAGAAAGGGAGAAAGAAAAGGATAGAAAAAAGAATAGAAGAAAAGAAAAGCTAGAGAAGGCAACCATAAATCCCATATGAAGGGGGATAGACAGCTGGTCATTACTGGATGAACTCCGTAAGCCCACGTATGAAATATATCTTACATACAGTTGCACTCCTAATTTCGGAAGTCATAACACACATTTTACTACATTGCACATCGGGTCAAATTGTTGAGTTATACAGCAGTGCTAGGACATTTTTCATAACCCAGTAACACTTCTACTAAACAGCTGTTATAATCAAACTTGTCTGTGTTGAAAATAAAACTAAAACTATATAATGAAAATACAATCAAGCCTAGGCAAGTAGCTTCCCTCACACATTATATTCCAAAGTGAAAAGCAGCCCATATTTATTCTAAAGTACACAGAGCTTATTTTCAATGTCTTGTCTTTGGTATATTCTTACATAAGAAACTCAACAAATTCTACTGTATATTCTTCACACATTATGCTCATTTATTTTTTTGAACACCAAGTTCTATTTCCAGGGAGACACAAAATGGTAACTTTGAGGTTGGTACCGTATTATACTTAGAACTTACATATCTGGAATAGATTTTGAGTTGGCAAAACCCTGTTCTCTGTCCTTTCTGACAACTGTTGCCATTTCATTTGCAATCTCATTTCAGCTGGGAGGCATTTAACTGTCCAATTTTGAAAAGTCTTCTTGGATAACTTTAGCATTCCCCAAACTTGCTGATAATACCCGAAGCTAAGGCAAAAGGCATTACCATCAGCATCTCCCTGACTGCCCTATCAATGGCCTGGAAAATCTATGAAGACGAATATTCTCACAACCAAATTGCCAACCCGGAAAGATCAGACTGATCTCCACAGTGCAGGTGGAGTTTGTAAAAACGGGAAGGCCGGCTCCACTTTGGTGAGTGATAACACAACTCATCTGGCCAAACAGCTTCTCGAAAACACCACCTGATCCTGATCGACGGGCGGGTACAGACAGACATGGGGAAACGACTTACCTCAGCGTGAAGCGATCTTCAGTGGAATTTCTGGAGATGGAAACGGGGAAAGTCAGCACGTCTCCTTTCCTCACGGTCTTTGGTATGTAGTGGATGGCCACGCTGCTGTCCAGGCGCAGTTCTCTCAGGGAAGGCTTCCTGTGAGTCTGGTAAAGGAAGATGCTCCCGATCCTCTGCAAGGGGGGCCCGGACTCATCCATGTCACTGTGGCCTGTCCGGATCCCATTGCTTTTCCTCGCATCCTCCCTGACGCAGTCCCCTCGCTCAGCCCCTGGGTGCACGGTGTAGTAGAGCTCCACGGGGGTCCCCTCCGGCTGGTCCACGGCCTTCTTCCTCCCGGCCACCACCGTGGGGGGGCTGAACCAGCTGGACAGGAGCTCCAGCTCGGCCACACACAGCCCCAGGTCCCCCTTCAGCCGGCAGCTGCCCCGCACCTCTCTGGTCTCTCGGAAAGCAAAGAGCCTCAGGCACGGCAGCTTCTCCCCGGCGCTGCGGTCGTCCCAGTCTCTGCCCACGATGTGGAACAGAACCTGCACTTTGGGCCGGCTCAGGTAGACTCTGTCCCGCAGGATGTGGGCTTTCAGTTTCCAGTTAAGAGAAAATTTGTTGGTGAATCCAAACGGGTTGGAAGGTAGCATTAAATCCTGGGGCACCACTTGCTCGATGGAGAAAGGCCCGTAGCTGGCATTGAGAACAGGCAGCCTCTTCGATTTGTAAATCAGAAATGACTCCACCCGGGACTGCAGGCTGGAGTTCCTCATGATATCCTGGTTGGCCTCCTTCAGGAAGAAGGAGACGTCAGCGTTGTTGATGTGGTAGGTCACAGGGAGGTAGGTGGGCAGCAAGGAAAACCTCTGGATGCTCTCAAGGATCCCTCGACCTTCCGTCACTGTGGGGAGGGAATCGCAGTGCAGGTGTTAGTAATGCTAAGGTGCCGTTACCCGTATTTCAGACACCTGCGTGGCCCCTTCATAACAGAGGACCCTGTCTTCATGCCAATTATGCAATTCCTTGCCCAAACCTCTTAATCCAATCTACTCGCTTCATATTATTTGTTTCAGAAGAAATAAATGCCACCAACCTAAGTAGAAAACCAGTATCATTTAACCTATAAAAAAGCTGAGCATGCAAATAAATACAATTCAAATGAAGTTTTAAAATTTCAACTCGTGGTAATGGTGTTTTTATGGGGTTATGGTAAAGACTTACTTTTTTTTTTTTTATAAAAGGAGAAATGAACAAGTGTTAGAAAACTGTCACAAACAAGCTAGCATCGACAGAGAGGCACCGTCCCACTGAATCAACACAGATTGAGACTGGTAAAACAGGAACGACTTTCTCAACACATGGATCAATGCTATGTCCACATTTCACCTAATACAGATTCTGTGTGTGTGTGTGTGTGTGTGTGTTCCACCCAGACACACGTGCTGCATTTAAGGACATGTCCAATGGGAAATGGTAACAGACTTGAGGCAAAAATAGATGCAGATGCACAATCATAAATTACACAGTGTACAGCCGCCCCCGCTTGGAGTTAAGGGGAGAGATGCAGAGAAAAGACCTTGGAAGGATATATTGGGAGGGGCCCTCCAGAAACAGATGAGATGATGTGACCAGTGTGCCAGGGCTAGGTGTACAAAGCACATGCTCCAAGTCATCTGTGAAACACTGGACCCTAGAACCTAAGAAGCAAGGGCAGCACCCCGCTTCCATCCCAGCCACATCCTGTGGACACTACGCGGTCAGCAACAAACAAAAACCATTGTTCATTTTTCCGCACTGAACGTCTCTCTCCCCCAGGGGGAGAAAAATCCAAAATGTTATTTTTACAGGTGGTCTTACATTCTGTAAGAAAAATGCAGGCAGAGCAATTGCATAATCCAAAGAACCAATTTAAGGAGTTTTAGGAATGGAAACTATTGGCTCTGGGAACGCTGACTTTCTAGGCAAAGCTCCACAAGTTACACTGAAGCCCTTCTCGTCAGTCACCATGTAATTATCTTTGATGACTCGGACACTCATGGCGTCACCTTTCTCAAAGGCCCACACAAACACACATTTGGAAGCATGATGCCTACCCGAGTCAGGACCCCTCTTGGCAGTCGTCTGCCAGCAGCTGAGAGAGCCAAGAGCTCGGAGGCAGGGGTCCTGCTCCTGACTTCGCGAGACCACGGAGCAGGTCACTGACCCTCCTTGCTTCCCGTGGACCCATTGGTAGCACGAGGGGGCTGACTGGAGCGCTGCAGACTCAGCCCAGCTGTGACACCACAGGGTGTCAGGCTGCATCCAATTTAACTTCTAGACAAGAAGTTCAACAGATGTATTCAACTTGAGTTTACAGAAGGCCCGGGATGAAAAAATCTCTCCAATCAACAGCATTACCAAACTCAGAGCAGGCTGAGCTTCCATTTAAACAATTAAGGCTTGTCTTGGGCTGAACCATTTGAGACTGCTTATAAGTAAGCCATCTGCACCCACCCAAAGGACAATTTCCTAGGGTTCAATGTCTTAAATATGGATTTTTGTTTTCAAAAATCAAAATATCCTAGATATAGAAAGGGACTTCATGCCTCAAAAAGATTACATGTTTTAACTTTATGGAAATAACTCCTGATTTATATTATCTCTAAACTTGTATTTTCACAGGTGAGTTATAGGAAAAACAAAGAAGAGGCAGAGAATTTTTCATCCCCTCTCTCGATACCCTCTCCCCATTTGCCTAGCCACATTTCTGTGACCTCTCTGGCTGCAGTAGCAAAGTCACCTTGCCAGGATCCTTTCCTTGACTGTATGATTCTGGGTTATGTTCTCCATCTGGGTTTTTCTGTAGCATCCCCAACTTCCTGTATCAAAACACGTTATGCTTTGCTGTAATTCTCTGTGCACTCCAGCGTGGGATAAGGCAGGGAGCAGAAATGATACAGAGGGCTTTTTTCTCCGCTGTATTCACAGTCTTTAAGAGAGTGCCTGGTAAATATCAGGTACTCAGTAAATATTTGATAAACACGTGAAGTAATGAATCAACAGGTGTATTATGCTTTTTATGTTACAAAGAACAGATTCTGTTTTTACGCTAGGATGTTATTCACTGTCCTCTTCGCTTCCATCCCTGTAATCAGAATCCTGGATCCTTTTGTCCCATTAAGAGTTCCATGTAATCCTGGTGATATGGGACTAAGGAAGATGGGCCTCTCCGTGTAATGAGACTCCTATTAGACCTACATCAATGATACAGCATGCCCTATTGTTAAAAACACATCTGGGCACCACTTAGAACAAGTACCTTGAGCTGCCTCAGCACTCTTTTGCCATTTGTGCTAGAAACAGCCAAAGCCAGACAACCAAATTACAGATGGTTAAACATTAATGCCAGATACCAAGGTTCCGTGAACTTCCCTGTTGAACATCTGACCCCGACTACTTGAGGCCACAAAACTTAATTGTACAGCTAATTACACATTCCAAGGGCAACGACATTGGGTCCTCCGATTTTATTCAGGAAAGCAATAAGGCAATCAGGGGTCACTGCGGACGTCATTTGAAGGGAAGTAACTTCTTAGCTTTATTCCACAAATGGTCTATTAGTCATTTTGCCTGGTAGCTGACCTAAATGTTTATTGCTTAAAATTGCTCCATATTGACCTCAAGCTAGTGTCACTTCCTTTTTTTTCAATAATACTACAAAAATAATGCCAATTATATTCCACGATGCACAGAATGCATCATAAAACTCATTATCCTCTCATCCCTACAGGAGTGGTTACTATCACTAAAGGACACCATTTATATTTAACATAAAAATTAGCAAAGTGTTAAACAACAAAGAAGCTATACACAGTAAATGTCAGTTAATAATTTGCTAAGGACAAAAATTACTTTTTGATTGGGTGCCATGGCTGTAATTCTTACTTGAGGGAGAGTGGCATGTTCACATCTTGAAGCAACTCAGTGGTCTGGGAGAGATTTTGTATTAATTTTAACATTTTCGAAAGGATCATTTTTTTCCCTGAATAATACTTTTTTAAAAAATATGGGAAGAAAGCAATTTGAGCACAAGACTCTCAATTTTCCCCTATGTGGACTCAAAAGCAATAACTAATAGAATATGGTAATAGGCAAAAAAAAATCTACATTCATGCTGAAAATTAGGTACAACCTGCATGCCATAGACTGCAAGAATTACTGGGAGTCACAAGGGACTCAAATACCTCACATAGAAAACAGAATGACTAGGGCTGCCAGACAAAACACAAACACCTAATTATGTTTTGATTTCCAGTAAACAGAAATATTCCATAGGGCATGCTAATAATTAAAAATAAATATTTTAAAATTGTGTTTTTCTGAAATTCAAATGTAACTAGGCATCTTGTGTTTTATTTCCCAAATCTGGCAATCCTCACCATGATATTGTCATAGAAAGAAAATAATTGTCAGCTGAGTAGATATCTGTAAGATATCTGATATCTACGCAGCTGACAAATCTACCCTGATACCTGTAAGAGCAAAGGCCATGGGCCATGTGGGTGCTCCCACACCTGACAATATTTCCAATGCTGGAAGCCAACCAGCTTTGCCATCAGCTGAATCAGAGACCCAAGCATAGGGGGCGCTGCACTGCACAGAAAGACCTAAACCATCAAGGCATCTTGCTAATGCTGTTCTTCCCTAACAGAGACAGTGATGGGGCAGGAGGTCTGACATAGCCACACTGTGCTCCTGGAAGAGTCCAAACCTAAAACCACCTACAGGAAACCAGTGCCCATGCGGCCCCTGCACCCAACTCACAGAAGGCACCTTGGGGCAAGGGATCTCCCCTGCTGGGCATGTCAACACCCCGGAGCATCCTCACTGTCCCCCGGGGATGCTGGGTCAGATGGTAACATGCAACGCCAATGCAAAAAAGGCTGCCCACAGTGAAGGATATGTAAATAAACAAAAACAGAAGGAGAACAGGACCTACCAATAAAAGCTGCAGAGTAACAGAAGGAAATTCAGAAAGACATTCAAGAAGTAGAGGAATAACATACCTTTGAAGAGTATTTACCATAGAATATTGAAGTACCTTTTATACAAAATGACTTTGGAGCTCACAATCGTCAAGAAAACCAGAGCCTTTGTTGTTTTGTAATGAAATAAGACTGAGATGGAAGAAGATCCTGCAGTATTAAAAGTAAGGAATTTAAAGTGGTTTCAGATGCAATAACACAGATTTGAAAAATGCAGAAAATTGAATTTATCATCTGAGAAGGGGAGCTTTTGAAGCTTTCCCTACAGCTAAATAGAAAAGGCAAAGGAATGGAAATGATCAGTAAGAGGCTGTAACCATGTGAGACGCACATTAGATGTTCAACATTCAGATGACGGAGCTCTTAATGAAGACACCAGGAAAATGCAAAAGCAGCAGCATTAAAAGGCAAAAAAAAGAAAACATTCCCGGGTTTATATACATACACATATTCAGAGTAGATCATGATATTTCACTGATTCCAGAGAAAACCGAAAACACCACCTTTTAGGTATTTCTTAAAGATACATTCCCATCAAGGGTAAAAGGTAATTCTATAAGCATTTATTTTAAAAGTAAAATTTTAAAAACTAAAAGAAAAAAATCAGATTGTCTTCATTTGCATCCACTGTACAAAATTAGATATTAAAAAATACTGATAAATATTCACAGAAATACGATGAAGAATGTTCTAACTGAACAATTATCTAATTGAACAATTATTTGCCCTGAGGATTTTTCTGGTAATTGTGAGGGCAACAGAAAGAAACAAAAATGTATACCGTATCTTCCGCTGCTGAAAAATCACTGCAGCCTATTATCCGGGACACCATAAGGTTAATCAAAGTGTAGTACTCAAGAACAGGAAAACCATGTTA